GCGGTTTTTTCCTTGCGAAAAGTGTGAATCTGAGGAGGTAAGGGAGGTTCCCCTCAGGGCGTACCTGAGATTTAGCGGAGACCTGGCGAGCGCGGGGACTGTGAATGTCTCCCTGCAAAGCCTTATGGAAAATGATTGCAAGCTTAATATTCGTCAGTGGGGTTGCACATATTTAATGCTAAGTTGTGGTGTCTAAGTGGAAAATTATTAAAACAGTCAAGCAATACATTAGTTGGAGTTTGTGCCGTGCTTTGTAGTATAACCTAACTTTGATCCCTAATTTAAGATGCTGGGAATAGGTTCAGGGCAAGGAGAAACTTCGTGTGTGTATATATACATATATGTGTATATACATATGTGTGTATCTATATATGCAACATGTAGATTGGTACTGATGTTGCTTGGCCATGTACCACTTTCATCTTTCAGGTCGCATCTTTTCAAGGAGTGGCTGTCCGCAGCCTCTGCACATCCTCCCCTCATGAACACCCAGAACACGGAAGATTAGTTTATAAAGGAAATTTGGCAAAGGCAGTGTTAGGTATGTGACTTGAAGTGATTTTTGTTGCTTTATTTTATTTAACAGTTTTTAATGACTTTAAAATACAACATTATAAAAGAGAACATTCTCCTTTCCAACTCTGCTAAAACCTGGATCCTCTGTACAGCAAAAAAAGAAGTGGTGATGGTGCTTGGTTTCTGCTTCTACACTTAGGTCTGCAGGGAATTCTGCAGGCATTGTGCATCTCTGTAACCCCTCAGCCTGCTTCTGTTTCTCTTGCAGCCTTTGGAGTGCATTACCCAACCCAGTAGCAAAAAAGACTGCCTGTAACTGCTATTTACATTCTGTATTCTTTCTAATGTTACTGAAGTAGACAAGTACTATCATGAAATGCACTATCTCTAATGAGACTTTGTTGATCTTTCTTTGACCAGTTAATGTTACAAAGACCTAGTGAAAAGTACTCCGTTGGATGTTTTCTGATACACATTTTTGAAATGTGTCTTAAAGAAGGAGGAAGTATGCCTTAATATACTTATTTATTACAGCACCTTAGGCTACTGGTTCTTACGGTAACTTAAGGACTGTGGGTGATCCACAGCACTGCCTACTGTCTTTCAAGCTGCACGCAGGCTGCCTGTGGAGTACTTGTTAATATTGAATAACCTAGGTTTTTCAAGTTATGTATGGTGGGGGACCAAGCAAGCTTCTTTGTAATGCACACTGGACATCAACGTTAACTGTTGATGAAGAGAGAAATTCCCAGTCATATCTGTGATGAGTACCATTACGTGTGTCCATGACTGAAGTCAAGTTTCTTTTGAAATCAGTTTCTTCTCTGTGAAGTGAAAACTTCATAGGTGTGCATAGTAGCTAGTAGCTGACTTCATTGTAGAAATAGAGCCAGCTATCAGCTTTGATAAAGCCAACATGAACATATAAACAAACCAGAACAGTGGCAAGAAGGCAGGGTTGAATTTTCAGTGGTTTCTTTGTGAGCTTTAAAAAAAAAGGAAGTGGATTTTCAGTAACTTCAGCTGTTCAAGTAATTCCATCAATATATAGTAGCAGAACACATGTAGTTGTAGAGATAATTTTACTCGTAAGTATTAATGTTTGGTTTTGTTTTGTTTTGTGTAGGTGTGAGGTTTTTCTCTTACTCCACCAGCATATTCAACCTATTCATGATGCCCTACATCATGCTCAAAACTGGTATTGGATTTGAAAGCCTGATTATACAAGCTGCCTTTTACGGGTTGATCGGGTTTTTTACGTTTGTAACACCCGTTACTTTGCATGTCCTTACAAAAGGCTATGTGATTCGACTCTATTATAAAGATGAAATGGACACATATACAGCCATTACATACAATGCAATCTTGGCAGAAAAAGCGACTGTTTTCCATCAGAAAGATGTAAAGATTCCAGATATCACCAAGATGTTTACAACATTTTACGCTAAAACGAAATCAATGCTTGTTAATCCGACACTGTTCCCGAATCCTCAGGATTTTAACCATCTCATGGGCTATGACAAGTCCTTTTATTTTAACTTAGAGGAGGAGAAGGAAGCTGATGAAAGGAAATAATTTGAAGATAATGAATGTCACTGTCATTGTTCATGGTGCAGTGCTGTATATGTGAAAGAATGTAAAATTCTATTACACTTTGTTAAGTATCAGATAGCTAGAGTTCCCCAAATACATTTTGGAATGTATAAAAAAAAAAAAAAAACCCAACATTTTTTTTTAAACTTGTAAACAATGTGAGGGTTTCTTCAGAGATAGTGACACAAAACATAGTAAAAAAATGTGCTTAGATCTGTCTTGTGCTTGTTTGTTGGTTGGCTTGGTTTTATTGTTAACTGTCCAGGAGAACTATAAAATGCATGGGCTGTGCGGCAATCTCACCGTCTCCATTTCAAAATAAACCATTCATAGAAAAAAAATCATCAATACTCATTACCTGTCAAGTACATAGTTAAGCTTTTAAGCCTTAAAGTTTAATTGTACTTAATCCAAAAAGATCAGGCTTTTTTGTCAATGCTGCTGGTGGTATAAAGGAGTGGAGGTGGCTTTGAGTTCCCTTTGTGAGAGCATTGGTAGCCAGGAGGAGTCTACAGAAAGCAGACAGGTATTGTTGCTAGTTGGTGTTACAGCCTCCTTCTAGAGGCCTGCAGGTCTCTGGAGAAGATGGGGAGAATGGCTGCGTCGCAATAATTTCTAGCTACTCACAGCTGCTAAATTGTTTCTTAAGCTGGAGTCCCACTCTGAGCAACCCTGTCCCCAGAGGTGGAGAACAAGAAGCCTCTCTTCTGTTGCACGGGGGCAGGCACCTTAGCATAAGACTTGCTCTGTGAATATTCCATTGAAAATGTGCTGTATTTCAACTGACTTAAAGAAAGTACTAGCAGCTAGTGGTTAAAATGGACTCTCAGCATTTATGTAAGGTGGGGAAGCAAAAGGAAATCTCCTGTAGAATACTGTTTAGATCTTGTGCCTTTAAAAAACATAACTTGAGTTTTAGCACTGCTAAGAAAGCCACCTTTAGCTCAAGTAAAAAGAGGATTTGATCTTTTCATGTGACTAGACTGGTTAGTTCTGCACTCCGAGTATGCAGAAATTGGATTTCAATGTTTTTAGCCCATGGAGAGGTTTGTCATGTAACTGGCAGATACTTGTTTCCAAATTGAGACAGGCTTAAATATGTATACTGATATATATTAAATATATTTTGAGGCTTAAAATGTACTGAATTAAAAACCAGCAAAATTCAAATTAATCCTTTTGTTTTAGCAGTGCCCTTTATAAGAAATACATCTGATGCTTGCTACTAATTAAGTTGTCCTGATACCTGCAAATAAAGAAAAAATATAGTTACCTTTAGAGATGTTTCCTAAGTTCCAGCTGAAAAAATGTATTTAAAAGTCTAAATGTCTTCTAAGAGTATTACTTCGGTTTCCTGTCATAGCTTCCTGTGACATACAGGCTATGACTATATATGACTGTAGGTCATATTAAAACATCAGTGTTTTTAATGTTTTTCTGACTGCTGAAGCTGCACTCAATATACTTGCCGAGTAATGAAAAAGCAAATCATCCCATCCAAATGTTTTTGAGGCAATTCTTTTGTGTTGGCACAGCTATAATTTTAAAAGTGGTATCTAGCCCTGTTAGCCAGTATCAGTAGGTAATAATAATATAAAAACAATTTCTATAAATGATATTGAAGTCATAAGGCCAGTAACAAACAATTCTGATCACCTGGTTGTACTACCTGTCCTTATTGAAATGATGTTTTACACCTAATTAAAAACAACCTTTCCATTCTTTCCATGTCTGATGCGTTCGCTCTCTTCTTGTGCTTGCGGATAAAGTTAACTTCATCTTTAAATGCCAAATACAGGGAGGACAGGAAATAGAGTTTGCAAGAGAAGGTAAAGGAAGGGCACTAAAGTTATATTTATGTACCCCTTGGGCAATATCAAAGTCTTCAGCCGTTTCTTTTGACTGCAGAAAATTTTCACTGTTAAATTTGAAATTTGGCCAATTCAGATGTAAGCAGCAATAATAAGAGATTTCCATCCCAGTGGCTAAGTTTCTCAAAAAAAAGTATGGAAGTTAAATACTATTTCTTCTGTTTGTCTTCTGGCAGTGAGATGCAAGTTAAGCTAGTAGGTGGCTTTCTGACACATAGATGATTAAAAAAAAATTTAAAAATCCAGATTTCTGCCAGAAGATAGATCATGTTTCTTGCCATGATATAGTCTCAGAAAAGTATTTTATACTTCCAATAACTTGAAAATAATGCTAATTCCGTAGCTTGCTTTTAATAGTACTTTTATATTAAAGAAAGGGAAGACCAAACTTGCTAGAGACGCACAATATTCTACCTGCTTCTACCTTGTTTGCTGCTAACTTGGTAAACTCAGTTTGGGAAACAACCAACTTCTAAATCTTAAAATCATAATATTTGTTATGGTTCCTAAATAAGTATGGCTTTGGCCCCATCCCTGTTAGCGTTTCCACCTCTGCCTGTTCTTGTGTATAATCCCAGGAGTCTCAGATTTGGCTTTTTTGCAATTTTTACTTGCAGTGTGTACTTAGAATCATAGAATCCTTTAGGTTAGAAAAGACCTTTAAGATCATCGAGTCTAATGGTAAACCTAACACTGCCAAGTCCACCACTAAACTGTGTCCCTAAGCGCCACATCCCCGTGTCTTTTAAATACCTCCAGGGATGGGGACTCAACCACTTCCCTGGGCAGCCTGTTCCAATGCTTGACTACCCTTTCCATGGAGAAATTTTGCCTAATACCCAATCTAAACTTCCCCTGGTGCGACTTGAGGCCATTCCCTCTCATCCTATCGCTTGTTACTTGTTACCAGCACCCACCTCACTACAGCCTCCTTTCAGGTAGTTGTAGAGAGCGATAAGGTCTCCCCTCAGCCTCCTCTTCTCCAGGCTAAACAACCCCAGTTCCCTCAGCCGCTCCTCATAAGGCCTGTGCTCCAGACCCTTCACCAGCCTTGTTGCCCTTCTCTGAACACGCTCCAGCACCTCAATGTCTGTCTTGTATTGAGGGGCCCAAAACTGGACACAGTATTTGAGTGTGCTTGCACATATGTGACTGGTTTAGATCCCTGGAACTTGTTGAGGGCGGTAGAGACTAGTATTGAAACAACAGTTTGTTCTTCGCATTAGAAACAAAATAAAGGAATGGAAATGTAGTCCAAAAAGACTTCTGGATGCGTTTTTTTTTTTTTACTTTTGGTTCTGAACAGTCTGTCTTAATACAGATATTTCATACTGCATTGAGTGCATTTCCAAGTGGGAAACTCTGAAATGCTTGGTGTCCTTCTAAGTTAGGAAATGTGCATAAACCCAAAAAGATCCTCTTACTACTAACAAATCCTGCAAGAGAATTGACTGTAGTGTGAATGTTTCAATAAGCAGATTGCTATCAAGTAGTTGTCAAAGCCTGGTTATATTAGCTCCACATCCTTCACAATCCTATTAATTTTGTGAACTACTGTTTTCTTCTAGTTTATTTTTCTTCAGTTTTATACACTTGGTGAAAAACAGTTCTAATTGCTGAAGTATTACTACCTGCTAACATTTTCATCCCTGGAAGTTGCTGATGTTTCTTTGGGTGTAGGTAACTTGTGTATGACACGAAAGAAACAATTAATTTATAAGACCTAGAGAATGTGCTCATACACGTCAAGATTGTGAAGGAAATACTGATGTAGAAGCCCAGTCTTCTAAAATACATGCTTTACAAGCTGTCTTATTTGTAAGGCTACACCTACCATGAAGGTTGCCAGCTCCTGCAGCCTTTCCAGTACCGACCAAGCACTTGTCCCTAGCAGCTGGGTCTCGCATCTTACCCTGGTACCAGTTTCATTCAATCTGGTCTGAAGAGCAGGAACATATGAAATGACTCCAGCCTCTTTCCTAGACGCTTGCTTCCAGCCTTTCCAGCCTTAAGAGCTTCCACAAAAGGTCATAGATGACTGCTTTTTTTCCTAGAAAAACAGACAGGATACATGCAAATTTTTCTTTTCAGTCTTTGACTGCCTGCTATTTTCTTGCTGGTGTCCCTTTCCCCTTTTCTCAAGTTTTTGGCTTTGTCCATGGTAGTATTCATTAGTTCCTGCCTGTTCTTAATTAGGAAGTACAATACTTCTTGTCATTCTTTAATGTTATTTTTTAAATTAAATTATCCCACAACCCCTAGCCTTTTTTGCAAATGTAAAAAATTCTGATGAGAAAATTATCCCCTTTTGATACTTTAAAGAGAAATCTTTAAAGCTCTGAGGTACTTCATACTCTTAAGTACACTCTCTAGAATCAAAAGGTAACTAATTTCACTGGAGCATGCTTTATTGCAAACCAAAGTCATTGCATTGGCAAAGATGAAGAAAACCTGAGTAGATTTTTGCACGATACTGTGAGAGCCTAATTTAGGTGATGGAAACTTAATGAAATTCTGTTTGTGCTGTAAAAATTCAGAGCACACATGTGAATTATTACAATTGTTCAGTATAACTTAATAGGTGGAAACTTGGTAAGCTGCTGCAATTCAGTTGCCCTGGAGTTCTGTGGTCATACCATGAATTTCTTCATGTCCCCATGTACAGCATAGCCTGCTGCAGCCTCCTGGGAAATGGGACAAGTGTGCTAGCTAGGAGTTGGATCCACTATAATAAGATTATCCCACAGCTATACAGACCACAGCGAGCAGCTATTTTAAGCAGGGAAGAACAGAGAACAAGAGCAAATGGCCACAAAACATGTCCAGCTGTCTCCATTTCTGGAATACCAGGGTGGACAGTGTTGCTGTGGTGTGCTTTCTGTCAGCCTGAGGTAGGGGACAGCCCTTTCTTCTCCCTTCACCCTCTGCTTTCTCTTCTTCTTGACAACTTCAAGGTTGTCAAGGTTTAATGTATACTTTAGGGTATAACTATAAGCTTTAATCTTAAACTTGGCTTGGAAAGAATCAACCATAAGCCTACTGCCAACAGACAGAGAGTTATTTCCAACATGATTGTTTCCACAGGATACCACCTGGTGTGTGTTTGCTTCACTTTAATAGCCTCCAATAGAATAATGCCCGGCCGGCACTTTTTCTTTCCACAACTATTTGCTTTCTTACTCAA